AACATGGCCATGTCCACAGTGCTTGACAAATCAGTGGGTGTGTTCCTTTAAGACTTGTTGTAATCACAAAAAGAGGTCAGCTGAGGGCTTCAAGTGATGTTCAGCAGTTTTACAGCAGGTGACAAGATGAGAGGTGACAGATAGTGCTGCAGACATGCAGTATTCCTCAGGGTACTTTCACCATCAGCACCATTAGTGTCTGAAGTGATGATGAACTGAGGTGTTTCTCGAGAAATTAAAGCAACATTTCACTTTGGTACATTTTCATTGCTTGACAAACATTTTTACAGCAGTTATGAGGAAGTTGGCCTCTGACAAGGCCTCAAGGCCTCTTTTAATCACAAGCTCTCAGGCCATTGTCTCTTCCAACAGCCAGCGTTGGTAATTATAGTTAGGAACAAGGATCCTTCATATCCTACAGAACAAATGCCATTAATTTAGGTTTTACAATGCTCATACCTATGAAAAATGTTGTGAAAATAACTTTATCTAAATGGACTAAACCTCAAAATATGAGCACTATCAGGATTGGAATGTACCAGTACTTTTATTTAATTTAAAAGCGTTAGGTTATGAGTTAGATATTTACAGTTTTACTGTATAATTGTCATAATACCAAATATATTTGGACTCACAGTCAAACCCAAAGACCAGAGACCTGTTTACAGGACTTAAGGAGATAGCTTAACAAAAAGCAGGTTCTCTACAGGAAAGGATTGGGAAGTGGGGAAGATAAATTGCTGCATTTGTGAAGGACATAACATCAGATTACAAATTAAGAAAAGCTAGAGAACACAAGAACTTGTGATCAGGAATACACTGATCTGATTCTGGGATCAGATACCGGCACAATCTTGACTGAGAAGCTTGGATCGGATATTAATGACAATGGGCCAATCTGTGGGCCCGATCTATTCATTTCAGTTCTGTGTTGCTCTGTGATTCTTACAGCACGAGTCATCAGTAGTGCATACAATAGTGCATACAATAGTGCATACAATAGTGCATACAATAGTGCATACAATAGTGCATACACAGGTTGTATCTAATACTGTGCAGGAGAGCTAACAGCAAAAGGGATTTGAAGTTATTTCACATGTGCGGCTGCAACAGTGTCCAGTTGGGCAGAGTGTAGACGAGTTATCCACGACTCTTTGTAACAGTGAAAATATTATTTTAGCTCTAAGATAATGCAACTACACATAACCACTGTAAATCTGGGAAATGTTTTTGTGTTTCACATGTCTGAAAGAAAGAAATATCAGCCAATATGTCAGATTTTAAATGACCAAATGTATGAGGGTCAGTTTTAAAAATCCTGTATCAGAAGTTTTTATTTCGCACTTAACGTAACTCCAGAACATTCTCCACTCCAGGGACAAATATACCATTGCTGTGGAGCCTAAAGTCCAGCTCATCACTCACAGCTTTGCAGCTGATGGCTGGTCACTCAGTATTTTGTCTCTAATGTATTCTGAGCTTTAGAAAAGTCGGAGTGAGTGCGAAACAAACACAAAAGACCATTTTATGCTTATTATGTCTCATTAAGTAGGCAAGAGAACTGAAAAGGTTTATTGTATTATGCAGACCTGAATAATATAATTGCATCATTTCTTCTTTGACTCACTTCGGTCTAAATTGCAGCTCTGTATTTCTGTCCAGTCGTTAATCTCCTCATTTATGTTCTGGTCATGTGTCGGTGCAGAGCGGCTGCGCCAGCGTGGGAGTCTTTCATTCCTCATCGTGTCACTTTCTAATATGAAGTGTCAGAGCTGTCAAGGTGTGATTATGAATCCCTGCCGTTAATCGGAGACTGAAAGTGAGAAATGGAATAAAAGACTTGGTCCCAGAATCAGTAAAGACTGCTGATCAGTTAATAAATGAGTTTTCTTTCAAAGGCACACAGTGGAGAGTGGTATTGATCTTCTCACATAAATGTTTATTTCAAACTATAAAAGCATCCCTTTAGGAAACAATGAACAGTCCTTAGCATTCAGGTTTATCACTGCTACCAAATGAAGGAGAACAAAAAACTAATGTTAAAACAGATCAAAGTCTTATCTCTGATCCAGATACTGAAAAAGCAAAAACGCTCTTTCTACCAGTGAAGAAGTCGTGTTGAAAGAGAGCTGGTGCTGCAGCCATCCGGCCTTTATTTACAGCCTGCTGAGTTTACAGTTCGTGCAGCACCGGCTCGGTGCAGAGGACATTATTGATGTGTCTATCCGTGAAATGGCAGCGGATTGGTGGTGGAGGTCAATTCCATTACACCTGGCTTGTGTAGTGTCAACATGGCTCAGTCTGAGGCAGATGCTGTGGGAGATTATTTGGCGTTGAGATGAGAAAGGCATGCTCCTTTGATCAGAGCCGGGCGAGCGGCAGAGAAATTGAACTCATCACTCTGACCTGCATCCAGCTTCATGGAAGAACGGGCATGACTCGGTTATTACGTTGGACTTCAGGTGGCACTTGAGCTTGTCAAGCAGGCTTTTGTCATTGCGATGCTTACATTAATCGTTGCAGTCATGGTCTTTTTGGCTGTAGATGAATCTGACAGCAGCGTGGAGGTGATGGTGGTGACACTGGCCTGTTTACTGATGAAGTGCCAGTCTTATTACAGCCACCAAAGAGGTTATGTGATTGGGTCAGTTTGCCTTTTTAAAGCAGGACTGCAGAAGATTCGAGAAGCGATGGATTTAAATCAGTCTTACTAGAGGTAGGGCTCGGACCGATTTATAGATGTGGATCAAGGAATTTTTGGGAAGATTCTTTATTGTTATGATTAGGGCTGCCACAAACGATTATTTTGATAGTCGACTAGTCACCGATTATTTTTGCGATTAGTCGACTAATCAGATCATCATCCATTGGACGTAAAACGTACAGCTTATTGCACCAGCAGCATCTGCTCTTATATAACTATCATTAGCTTACAGCTTGAAGTGTTTAAGGTCTGTGCTAACTAAAAATAAAGACAAGATGATAGTTTATTAAAGTTTAATGACACCTGCAGATTGTTTCGGTGAAGTTTAATAAACTCAGCCATCTGCTCCTTGCTATCTAAAATATAACAGGACACTGGAGTATATTCTGGAGCATCTCACACTTCTGATAATCAGCTGTCTGCTTGACGTTTATTCAGCTGTGTAAAAACTATAACTTTAATCTCAGCCAAACAGATTTACTCAGGAACAAATAAAATACTAAAAAAAGCCAAACAATAACATTGTTAAGTTATCTAAGTGACTTATATATATTTAACCTGAGTAGTGAAAGACAGCGGCGGGTTTGAAAATGATTTGCCGGGAGTCCGGTGTTCTCACGGCTCTAGTGAGCCTAGCCCCCGGCTAGCTATCGAGCTAGTGGGTAACAGACGTCTCCGAAAACGTCGGAGCGCTTTTGAAAATATGCGGTGTCTTGATAAACTGAGCAGATATTTGAGGTTTACACAGCTACATTCTCGCCTGAAAATATGTTAAACGTTTATTTTGTGACCCAGAAAGAATAATAAGAGTAAAGTTAAAACTAACTAGCTGCCGCCATTGTTGGAAACTGAGCTGGGCTGCGCTATGAATTCTGGGACACAGCTTCTTCTTCTTCGGGGTTTAACGGCAGCTGGCATCCTTGTCCATGCAGTGCTGCCATCTTCTGTTTCAGTCCGTTATGACACTCTTAAATCCTGCTACTTATTCCTGTGTCTTTTGGGATGTTACAAAGCTTCAAACGACGCGTCGACTATTAAATCAGTCGTGGACGATTTTAATAGTCGACGTAATCGTGGCAGCTCTAGTTATGATAGGACAAAGCTGAATATTTTTAATATTTTGCAGCACACCTTGGAGATATTGGGCCTGTTCTCGTCCACGATGTTTATACTCTTTGAATGGGTTTAAACTCCCTAATGTAAGTATGTAAACGATAATATTTTAATTCCATTGCTACAGACTTCCAAGACAACATCTTTTTCTTTTCCACCCATGCTATTAAGTTTATTGGGCGACAAGGTCTCTCCATCGATCGCGATTTCCAGCGAGCTCTTTGGCTTCATGCCAACAGATGCCTTTGAGGTCGTCAAGGAAGGTCTGGCGCCAGAATACTTTTTTTGGGTTGTGGCTGTTGTTCATGTGGATGATGTGTCCAGCAAGTTTAAGGTGGTAGTGTGCTATAGTCACGCTGAGGCGAGGAAGGTTGCTTTGTCGCAGCACCATTTCATTGGTGACGTGATCAAAGTACCAGATCTTCATTATCCTTTGAAGGCAGCGTTGATGGAAGACGTCCACCTTCCTGGTAATACTGGCTGACACTTTCCACGTTTCAGAAGCGTACATTGCCATTGGGATGATGATTGAGGCATGCAGACGAAGCTTGATGTTGATCGAGATTGACCAGCTATTTCACATTTAAGATAAGAGATAAGATAAGACTTTATTGATCCCACAACGGGGAAATGTTTGCGTCACCTCAGCTCAGGTACAGATATATGAAGGAAATACAAAAATACAAATAAGTACAATCAATGAAAAAAGTAAGATTTGTTGGAATACCACTGAGGCTTTGCCAGCGCGGCTCTTCACATCGGCGTCTGCATCTCTGCCCCAAACGATGACGCTGCTGAGGTAATGCGAACCTCTCAACCACCTCGAGGTCTTGCCCACCGGTCTTGATCTTAGGCATACCGGCCTGGTCGCCGACGTGCATGGTTTTTGATTTCTCAGCACTGATGGGAAGTCTGACTTTTCCCGCTTCTCTGGCCATTCTCGCCCAGCAGGGATATCCGCAAAATCAAGGTCGGTGAGTCGACTGTTCCTGTCCAATTTGATGCCTGCATCTGACTTGACCGGGGCTTTCTTCATGATGAAGTTGAGTGCCATTAGATCACAGGTGTCGAACTCCAGGCCTCGAGGGCCTTTAGATGTGATCCAACACAGCTGATTTAAATGGCTAAATTACCTCCTCAACATGTCTTGAAGTTCTCCAGAAGCCTGGAAATGAACTAATCATTTGATTCAGGTGTGTTGAGGGGGTGGGCAAAGATTCCCAAAGATGAAGGAGGTGAAGAGTAGACAGGTACGTTTAAGGTTAATTTGTACTTTTCCAGGAAACCAGCAGAGTTTTCTCGAATCACAGTTCGTTTTTTTATGCTTTTTTCAGCTGGACAAGAACAAGGTCAGGAAGGCTTAAAGGTAAGATAATCACTGGAGTTGAGTCTGATTACCACATTACCACAAGGGCAAAAACAATCTAGCAAGGAGTGGAAGTATCAGCTAGCCTTTTATTTTCAAAAGGTGATGAGTTAATGGAAAACAGGTGCGCACACTGGCTCAGCGACAGGAACACCCCACTCCGGGGCGAGGTCAGGCACCAAGGCCTACCCAACTCCACCTGAGAGCACAGAGAGAGAGGAAGCTGGAGAGCCAGCCTTGTAGAAACATGGCAGCCTGTAAATGTTAAGACACTGAGAGAAAAGGTTCAGGCTGAAGCTGAATGTTATAATTGGCTGTTAACATTTTCTAAAAGCAAACTTTTCTGTACCAAAGGCAAAACGGAGGACACAAAAAGCACGTTGTAAACATCTCATACAACAGCAATTATTTCTAAGTTTTCATTTAAAAAAAACGTCAGTTTGCTTTATTCACTTATACAACAATTTGTTTATGTTTTCTGCAAAATTAAAACGTATAACTTGGACTGGAGACCTGCAGGGAGTTCCACACTAAGGAAACAGAGGAGGCAATGAGCCTTAACTTCAAACCCTATTACACAGGAGTCTTTGCTAACGCACACTACAGCCACTGGCTGTTGCAGAGCTCGCCCAAATGGAAAATGAGACTTGAGAAATTTGCCCTATTTTCCTTCTTCCTCCCTCGATACGCTGGAAGTAATTAATATGGAAAGAAAATAAACGTAATGAGATAAAATTTCAAAATCCCACAGAGACCATTTCATGATCTGTGTAAAGGAGATTTAATGATTTTTGCTCTGTGATGTGAAAGAAAGGAACGGAAGAAAACGTCTAGAAATAGATGTTTTCAATAAATGTTTTGTGTCAGATAGTGTAGACAGAGCCCATGAGGCTCCTGTTGGATCACTGTGGACGTCCACATCTGTTGCAGTTCCTTCAGCATCTGTTACATTTCTATCTTCTCACTTTGCTGTTGTTGCTGCCAGCTCTGGTTCTTGCATTGCCTTCTTACCTGCACTGATTGATTTCTAACCCATGATCGCCCTGTACACTACTGTCGCCACATGGTTGCGTCTGCTCGCTGTCCCACCTTGCATTTGGACTTTCCCAAGAGCACATTGACACAGCTTGATTCCTGTCTGCTGTGGTACACTCCCCCCTTCATGAATCTGTTCTTGTGCTGCCATGATGAAAGCCCCTGATCTATCCTTCTGGCCAGTCTTCTCTAGCCACTGGTAGTCTTTTTTAATCTCAGCCACTTTCTCGAGCTGTCATTGGTGTCTCTTCTTCCTCATCATCTCTTCTCCTGTCTGAGGCACCCTTGAAGCTGTTCGTCCTGGGATACCATCTTCCTGATGTATTCAGGGAAGCTCCTTGTTTCATCCATGGACAGTGACTCTGACACTCACTAATAAAGCTCTCATTTTGTTATGCATAGAGTGCCACGCTGCTGGAATTTGGATGTGAGCCTTATATTCCATATATTCCATAACATCACTGGCTCTCATGGGTATCTCATGACTAGTAGGGCATGCATGTAGATGACTGGGGTCCTATAGCAGATTTGAATATGGATTGATCTGTGCATGAAGCGCTTTTCTTTTTCCCCAGTGCAACTTTTAAAAGTTCTTCCTCTCCCTCAGACTATTTTTAATTCTGCTAGATTTCTTTCTGCTAAACTTTGATCATTTCTGTCACTGTGACTAACATTCCTGCTTCCTGATCATGGCTCACCTGGACTGATACTCCTCAACTGAACATCCTTCTGTAACATATGATCCATATGACTTTCCTTCTGTGTACAGCAGCCACTTATCTGTCATGACAGTGTGAATTGGATTCCACCCAAAAGAAACAATTCAACAGTACAAATAAAACAGTATGACTTCCACTGTGGGATACAACTCAAACATTATTGATGGAGTACTCATCCATGTCATCTCACACCTGCAACACATCAGCTTTTAAATGGCTAAGCTTTCCTGTTTGCCTGTTGTTTCTTTACAAATCTAGATAATAGAAAACCTAGCATCGGGACTACAAGCAGACAACAAATGGACATTTGTAAGCTTCTAGTACCAAACGTCTTGTTCCTCGTCCTGCATATTAATATGGAGATATCTAATTGTTGAAATGAAAGGCCTGCTGATGTGTACAAATGAAAAAAACAAGGTCATACCACTTGTTCAGTAATCCACAGAAACCAAAAACCCATTAGCAGTGCTCCTTCCTGTCTCTAGCAAACAAAGGGGTGAAAATATTGTGCCTGTAGGCTGGCAAAGCTTTCATAATATTGCATGTGCTCGTGTGTGTTCCACATGTACTGTGTTCAGCTCTTTTCCATCAGTCCTAATTCAGTAACTGCATACAGTGATGATGTATAGAAATTAAACCTAGTTCGTGACACTGTGTGACATAAAGCAAGCACAATGTCTCGTAACAATTTTCTTGTCTCCACAATATTTTGTACGGTACAAATTCAGCAAATATATGTACGTGTACAAAAACAGGGCTGAGGCAGATCATGCTGCAACAGCTCATTTATTATAAGCACACAAATGGTTTTAGCAACAAACCAACACTAAGCCTAGAAAGTGTGTGTGGATGGATTTCATGCACTTGCACAACAAATGAATGACCGAGAGCAAGCTTAATTAAGCAAGTGTATTTGCGGTTTAATTAGCTTTCTCATGGGTGTAGTGCTTTGTATCTCATTGGCAAGTTCCACAGGAAACAAAGCAAACATATCCAGTCATAAATAAAGTCTCCATCTTTTTTCTCTGCGTTATGTTACAGGATTTTGATGTCTTGTGTACTTGCACATGCATCCTTACAGTTTTTTTGCGTTATGGAGCCAGTGGACTTTATCTTAGAGCATCTGACTGCGATATTCTGATCAGTGCATACAATGAATAAAAGAAAAAGTAAACTGGGAACATTGTAGTAAAATCAGGGTCTGTAATCAAGAATCTTGTGAAAAATGTGAAACCACTCACAAAGATGTAAAAAATGTTTGCAATAAGGCATCAGTTCACCTGGGGCGGCAAAACCTGATACAAAGATGCTTCTGCATGAAGTGAGATCCTTGTGAAAACTTCAGGCATATACCTAACAAACAGACATAGACAAGATAGAAGATGAGAAGCTAAACTGAGGACAGGCACGCAGCACAGTGCATGCTTCCATGTGTACAGTAAAAAGAAAGAAACTAATGTCATCTTTCCACAAAGCTCTTTATTCTCTGTTATACTCATCGTATTATCATGTAATTATTGTACAGTGTATTTCACACATGCATGTTTATCCTCTGTGACCACAAAGTCAAGACAAATTTCATTATTTTTTAAAAATACTGTTCATTTCCTTTTCCTGCTCCTCCTCTCTTCCCTTCTCCCCCCGTCTTCTCTCCCTCTTCTCCCTCTTTCTGCAAAGTAGGTCACCATCACATTGACTCCACTTCCAATCTATCATTTGTGGAGTAGCATGTAATTGCTCTTTAATCTTGACACCACTCATGCAGCAAGTTGAGTCGTAGCTGTGTGCGAGTTTCACAGTGTGTGTGTGTGTGTGTTGTATGCAAAGACATCTGACGTAGGGTCTACTAATGAAAGGTTAATCCCTCTCAAATATCCAAGCCTTGCACGCTCCTCTGATGGGTAAGATCAGATCATCTGGGTGGCGAGGGCCAGCCGGTGAACAGGCTGTGAAAAGGGCAGCGAGCGCAGGGTAAGACAGGATCAGGAGAGAGGACGTTATCATTAAAGAGCATCAGTGAAGGGTTTTAGCGGCACACAGAGTGACTTTCTATGCCACACTACGCCAAGACAGTGAAGCTAAGAGGATAGACTTACATCATATGTCTGGGTTCAGATACGATTACTGCTGTGAATGTTCAGTGAACTTTGCTGAAAAGCTCTTGCCTGAAATAAAACCTATTTTTTAATACGCTGGAGAACCTGCAAAAGATTACTGAGAGATCTCAGTGGACTTTATCTTTCAGTGTGAGGACAATTATATCAATGTGCCCTCATAAGAATGACATCATCTGACAAAACAGGCATTTGGATTATGAAGGTTTACTCAGATTTGTGCACACGCACTGTTTGGGATGATGCCCAGTGTGTCCTTTGGCGTGAGGGTTTTGACCCAGCAGCTGCCCCAGTACTGGACACAGGACAGCTAATGGCCACGTCACATAATAAAATACACAACTCTATAGGGTCAAACGAATGTGTGCAGCTTGTACAAGAACAGGTTTGACTTCTGTGGATGGTTTCCCACTTCATAACAACTGTATTCATTGTATATGTTGTCCATAATGGATGTTAGATTGGCTAATATCCTTCTCCTCCTCTATGTGATCTAGAGCACCAGCCAGGACAGAACCAGGCTTCGCCAGTCTATAAAGTCATTTGCGGTCTCTGCTCTTGCTGCCACCTCCCCGGCAGACAACTGTATAAAAGACTGTGGAAGCTATCACTGTGTCATAAAATATCCTTAGCAATGTCGTGCACACCCCAGAAGACCTCAACCCATCCAGCAGATGACTGGGCTGACTTTGACCCTTCTTGTAACTGTTGTGACTGTTTTTTGTTCCAGTTTATTATTAAGAAGATGGCTCAGGATTCTGTATCTGTCCACCACCTCGATGTCCAGACCGTGTTCACCTGTGCAATCAGTGTTGGCTTTCTCGTCAAGCCAACCAACATCAACTGATGCAGGGGGTTGAGTTCACACCACATGACAAAGTCAGTGATGATCTTGTCATCCCAGCTCTCATACCTGACAAGCTCTCCTAGGTGAATGTGCTTGCTTCCATCTGCAGGTGGATCACTGACTTCCTGTCTGACAGGAAGTAGCATGTGAGACTGGCTATGCATGTCACAGACTTTCAGTGCATCAGCATCAGTTGCCTTCAGGGATCTGTACTTTATCCCCTGCTCTTCTCCCTTTACACCAACTGCTGCATCTCTAGACACCAGTCTGTCAAACTCCAGAACTTTGCAGATGACGCCACACTCACCAGGCTCATCTCAGGTGGAGATGAATTTGGCTATGGGAGGGACGTTGACAACGTGGTGACCAGGTGCAGTGACAACAGCACTGTGACAAAACAGTGTTAGTGGACTTCAGGTTAATACCTGCCCCACCAGTTCCCATCTTCCTGCATGCCTGCCTAGTGGAGCCATCATCTTCCAGGACCTAATGTGGTAGCTAAACATCTGCTCCCTTATTGAGAAAGCACATCCGAGGATCTACTTCCTGTGTCTGTTGCCAAAGAATTCATGTTGATGTTTAAATATTAATGTTGAAAGCAAAAAGTGTGACGCTTAAGGATAAAGATCATACGTGAGAAGTTGGGAAGAAAATCATGTCTATATAGCCACAACTTCCAGGCCAAAGGACACCTTGGCTGTTTCTCTGAGACATAATCAGCTTTTATAAACAGAATCTTTTGAGCCTGTTTAGTTTTCCCCAAATTCCTGAATGCACAGTAGGAAGAAAAATCCAATGTTAGTCAAACATCTTTTAAATAAGATCTTAAATTGTCTTGAAACACAGCAGATTCAGAAATGTGATTAAATCACTGTCAGGTGTCAGGTCTAAAGTGCCTCAGGGAATTACTATCAAAACATTATTCTTTATCACATTCACACAGGACCATTTTAATAAATGCTGCTCTTATCCATCCTTGGTTTTGTCTGCTTCTTCAGAGTAAGCACCTCTCCCACAGAGGCCTCTAAAACGGCCTCTGCAGCTTTTAGGTATATTGTAAGCAGCACTGAATAAATGGCTGTTGTGTCTTAAACTCATCTCACTGTGTGACACTGACAAGAAGCTTGTTTCAAAGCCAAATACTCCTAAAGGAAATAAACTTCCACAGAGTTCACAAGTGAAGCTGCTCCTGATTTATCCTCAACAGGAATGCTGCGATAAGAGTGGAAGCGAGGTCGATTATTTAATAACTGTGCCACATTTAATTGGCTGGCTGTGTTCAAAGTGGATGTCAGAGATAAAAGTGATGAGAAATGGACAGTACCGGTCAGCCACGAGAGACTGAGCAAACACAAACACACTCCCCAATGAATTAATGTGAAAGGTGATGCAGAGTGCAGAAGACTTGGCTTTCGGAGAACATCACATGGGTTTATGAATTAAGCCTCTATATTCAAATTAGAAGCAAATGAGACCGCATCGACACAATTAGGATCCCCATCACAGAGTGAAACTCCACAAGTGTGACCTGCATTTTATTTTTGGAAATGTTTTTCTTTGATCCACAAGAGGTGAAAGAGGTGCTAGCAATAAATGTGACAGAAACTCTCCGAAAGTTAGTTTGAATTCATTTCCCACAGTTTTTTTTAAAAAATTTGAATTATTTAGATATAAGAACAGAGATAGCAGCAGATACTTGTCAGGAATAAAAGCTTTCCATTAAGGTTACAAGGAAACAGAAAATGTTGCAGGTTGCTGCTGTGTTGCTCACATAATATGCAACGAGGCAGAAACAAGGCTAAAAGAAAAGCAAAATATTTGCTCAAATCATTAAAAGGTACAAAAAAAAGCTACTCAGCTAAATGACTTGCAGTCCTACACGCTCTCACTGGTTACCAATTAGCAGCAAGTTGAAGCTAAATAAATAAATGAGTAATTTTAGCTGCACTTAATTAAAATAGTGTTAAATTATTTTCATGGACTGACATTAGAGATTAATGTGTGTTAGTTTTTTGAAGCACCAAATGAATTAGCATGATTATAACCTGGATCTTGATCACTAGATGCATCGGAAAAGATGAAAAACACAGAAAATTAAAGGAGTAATTAAAGGACGCTACTAGCAGCTCATTAGCTTAGTTTGATATGCAAACAAATTAAAAAAAGAAATAAAGAAACAAAAACTCGAAACAACAACACATACAAGATATACAGTTAATAACTTTGTGCAATTTTTAGGCGGGACATCTCACCACGGTGTTATCACCAAACATATTAATACATATCTGTAAATCCTCTCACCACTAGGGATGGGTATAGTTTAGGTTTCATCCGATACCGGTGCCAAAACCGGTACTTTTGAAACGGTGCCGGTGGTTAAACGGTGCTTGAACCGGTGCTTGAACCGGTGCTTAAAGAATGGAAAACACAAACTTTGTCCAAAAACCTCTCATGTTTAGCTATTTTTTGGTAAAAAGATAACAATGTTAGCCTTTTCTGTA